GTCTATGAAGCGACTGTGCCTATACTAACACAAAAAAACTTCAAAATTTGCCATTCTTATTTTTAGACGAATGGTTAAAGACGAAAGTCGACGGGAAACTATTTGTTTACAATAAAGCGACTCAAATGGTACTGTTTAGAAATGAGCGAAATTAAAACGATGTAATTTATAAAATGTTTCGAACCATGGCTTCAAATCAGGAAGACTTTTAAAAAAATACTTATAGTCTACCTATAGAAGATAAGCTTATCTCGCCGAGGCAACTTGAAGGGTTTAGGGTTAACCAACTTAACCACAACAAAATATATGTCGCTTACCGCAAGTTGGCAATTCACTCAGTCGGCCAGTGTAAATCTTCCAAGCAGAAACTTGTGAAGACTGAACTGAACTGATCTTTTCGATGGTTAGATCGACGAATCAACCACCTTTTTCGCTGTATTTAGCGTTCTGTAATTTCTCTAAACAGAGGAAGCGTTTGATTTCCCTTGTTGATTAGCTGATGAATAATGTGACTTTCCTTGCACGACTGCACATCAGATCTCGACGCGCGAATTAACTTAGGAAGTTCTTCTGAGTCAATTTGTCGGGTATTTCGCCTCCTTTCTCAAGCTCTCGCTAGCTCTGCTTCATGGCATGGCTCGGTATTGTTTCATCTCCTTTCTCTCAGCCCTGACCCGCTCTACTTCACGGCATTGTTCAGTACTGTTTCGCCTCCTTTCTCTAGCCCTTGCCGCGCCTGCTATCTTTCGCGATCTTCCTGGCTACTTCTTTGCCTGTTAATTCTTACTCTCGACTCTTCTCTCTCACGTTCTGCTTCAGTTAAACCTTGACTTGGAACATTATATCAACCCCGCTATCGTTTGTTGACATAACATTATAGCAATGAAAGAAGTTCTTGAAATCCCCCCTTAGAGTTACCTTGAGACTTCCCTCCCCCTCCCCCAGAGTCTGTAGGGACGGCACAGGGAAGGGTGGAACAGGCCCATCTCTTCAAGAAAAACTAAATAAAGCCTTACATCAGATCGGTAGGGCTCAACGGCTCGGAGAGGACCTGATCAGAGAGGATCTGTGTGACGAAGACCATATATCAGGTTCTCAAGACCAAGATGCGCCTAGAAGTACCAACCCCTGCGATCACCACAATGCTAGTGTCCGTCAAACGACAAAGTCTGCCGGAACACGAGAAGGACGGTACCGACCTACTCGTTGTAAAACCTTTATCGATAGGCTACAAACGGCAAAACGAGAGAAGGAAGAGCTCAAGATAAAATCAATGGACTCCTCCACAGTCCATCAAAGAGCCAACATCGTAGAAAACCTAAGAAAAAATTCTAATCATAAAGTAGAAATAGGAAAAAGTCTCTCCTGTGGTTGTGCAGATTTCGTGAAGAATTCTGGAAAAGAATTATGTAAACATATGGCACAGACATTA